ACTCACTACGAAAGCAAAAGACTTGGCAGACGATGCACCATCCCCCCAATGAAAAGCAGGGGTGTCACTAGCACGTTAAGAGACCATACAATAAGTGTCAGGGGCCCGAGACTGTTCAACTGCCTCCCAGCACACATAAGGGGGATTACCAACAGACCCCTGGCAGTCTTCAAGCTGGCACTGGACAAGCACCTAAAGTCAGTTCCTGATCAGCCGGGCTGTGGTTCGTACGTTGGTTTGCGTGCAGCCAGCAGCAACAGCCTGGTTGATCAGGCTCTGATCCACCAGGAGGCCTGGTCACAGACCGGGCCGCGGGGGCGTTGACCCCTGGAACTCTCTCCAGGTAAACTCCAGGTGAGGTGTCCCTGTTTGCAGATGACGTGAAGTTGATGAGAAGAATTCACTCGATCGAAGACCAGGCAGAACTACAAAGGGATCTGGACAGGCTGCAGGCCTGGTCCAGCAATTGGCTCCTGGAGTTCAATCCCACCAAGTGCAAAGTCATGAAGATTGGGGAAGGGCAAAGAAGACCACAGACGGAGTACAGTCTAGGGGGCCAGAGACTACAAACCTCACTCAAGGAAAAAGATCTTGGGTGAGTATAACACCAGGCACATCTCCTGAAGCGCACGTCAACCAAATAACTACTGCAGCATATGGGCGCCTAGAAAACCCAGAACAGCATTCCGACATCTTAATGGGAACATTCAGGACCCGTACACCGTGTACTTAGGCCCATATTGGAGTAGGGCCCCATTTTGGAACCCCACACCTCCAAGCACGTAAAGAAACTAGAAAAAGGCAAAGGTTTGCAAAAAAGACTGCCCAAGAAAGGTATGTCCTACGAGGAGGTTAAGTGAAATAAACCTGATGACACGGAGGACGGAAAAATAGGGGGGACATGATAACGACATACAAAATACTGAGGGGAATTGACAAGGTGGCAAAGACAGGAGTTTTTCCCGAGATTGGACACAGTAAAAAGGGGGCACAGTTGGAAGCGAAGACACAGATGAATCACAGAATGTTAGGAAGTATTTTTTCAGCCACAGAGAGTCAGTAAGTGGAAAATTTTTGGGGAAATGATGTAGTGGAGGCAGGATCCATACATAGCTGAAGCAAGGTATATAAAGCCAGGCTCAGGGGGAAAAGGGCCATAGCGATCATGAAGAGGCGGGGCCCGGGGCCGGACTCGACCCCCGCAACCTCAACTAGTGAGTACGTACACACACACAACACAACACACACACAACACAACACACAAAACACACACACCCCACACAACACACACCCAAAACACACAACACACACAACACCCCACACACACACCACACAAACACACACACACACAAAAAACAAAACACACACACACAAAAACACACACACACACACACACAACATACATACATACAACATACATAACAAGAGAGCATTGGGGGCAGTCAGCCTCGCTCAGCTATTCACCATAAAATAAAGGGGATAACAAATAGCGATGCAGTGTTATAAAGTCTACAAACTGATGATGTATCCAGTATCCTCTTATTTTTAACCCTGATGATGCAAGTTTAGGGAAGCAGAGAATACAGTGGGACCCTAATATCCACAGGGGTACGTTAAAGGAGTTGCTGCATATACCGAAACCTTGGGTAGTAGTGAAACCTATATTACATACACCCTTGATAAAGTTTAATTGATAAATGATACAATAAGTGGAGAATTATCACTTTTTCACTGATAGGAAGCACTTAATGGCTTCTCTTAGGCTTTGAAAAACTGTCACCATCACTACTTTTGCACTTTGAGGGCGTTATTAAGTACAGTGGACCCTCGGTTATTGGCTGTAGTCTGTTCCAGAAGCTCGGCCAAAAACTGAAATAATATTTCCCATAAGAATTGATGTAAATACAATTAATCCGTTCCAGACAAAAATATTCACAAAAAAAAAAAAAATTAGCAATTAAATCAGTATTACATGCCTTTATTGAAGACTGATGCTGGCTTCTGGAATGACTGCTACACTTCCTGCATGCCTGCTACACTCCTTGCATTCCTGCTATACTCCTTGCATTCCTGCTATACTCCTTGCATTCCTGCTATACTCCCTGCATATCTCCTACACTCCCTGCATGCCTGCTACACTCCCTGCATGCCTGCTACACTCCCTGCATGCCTGCTACACTCCCTGCATGCCTGCTACACTCCCTGCATGCCTGCTACACTCCCTGCATGCCTGCTACACTCCCTGCATGCCTGCTACACTCCCTGCATGCCTGCTATACTCTGCATATCTGCTACACTCCTTGCATGCCTGTTACTCCCTGCATGCCTGTTACACTCCCTGCATGCCTGCTATATTCCCTGCATGCCTGCTACACTCCTTGCATGCCTGCTACACTCCTTGCGTGCCTGCTACACTCCTTGCGTGCCTGCTACACTCTCTGCATGCCTGTTATACTTCTTGCATGCCTGCTACACTCCCTGCATATCTGCTACACTCCCTGCATGCTTGTTACACCCCTTGTATGCCTGCTGTACTCCCTGCATATCTGCTACACTCCCTGCATATCTGCTACACTCCCTGCATGCTTGTTATGCTCCCTGCATGCCTGTTACATTCCTTGCATGCCTACTACACTCCCTGTATATCTGCTACACTCCCTGCATGCTTGTTACACTCCTTGCATGCCTGCTATACTCCCTGCATATCTGCTACACTCCCTGCATGCTTGTTACACTCCCTGCATGCTTGTTACACTCCCTGCATGCTTGTTACACTCCTTGCATGCTTGTTACACTCCCTGCATGTGTGCTACACTCCCTTCATGTGTGCTACACTCCCTTCATGTGTGCTACACTCCCTGCATGTGTGCTACACTCCCTGCATGTGTGCTACACTCCCTGCATGCCTGTTACACTCCCTGCATGCCTGTTACACTCCCTGCATGCCTGTTACACTCCCTGCATGCCTGTTACACTCCCTGCATGCCTGTTACACTCCCTGCATGCCTGTTACACTCCCTGCATGCTTGTTACACTCCCTGCATGCTTGTTACACTCCCTGCATGCCTGTTACACTTCCTGCATGCCTGCTACACTCCCTGCATGCCTGCTACACTCCCTGCATGACTGCTACACTCCCTGCATGACTGCTACACTCCCTGCATGACTGCTACACTCCCTGCATGACTGCTACACTCCCTGCATGCCAGCTGCACTGCCTGCATGCCTGCTACACTTCACTCTTGAATTCCATGGCATTTCTCACTTTCTTTACCACAGGAACTTTCTTTGGAGTCATGGTTACTTATTTCACAGTTGCACTGCCAAAATAACACGAACTACAATGGTAAATAAGCGAAATGATTGGATGTATGATCAGAAGCTTCCTCAGCCACCTAGAGAGACAGCCGTCCACCTGCTAGGGCCAGCAGAAGGATGCGTCCCAAACGGCCAATCACCGAATTAATGACTGATAACTGGGCGCCAAAAAACCAGCTGATCACCAAGTTGGCCGATAACCGGGGGTCCACTGTAAAATTAAGGGTTATTTTTAGGCCACGGTAAGCTGCAGATAACTGAACCCGCATATACAGGGCTCCTACTCTACATAAATATTACCTGCCTTACTACTCAGTCAAGAAACTGCTGATTTACTCTCCTCCAGCTCAGCAAATTTCAAAATAATTAAGTTTTGCTGTTGAGTACATGTCCAAGTATACAATTAGCTCCTCAATGTTGATTATAATTGTAGGGCTGCAGTACAGAAATATGACATTGCTGTTGGAGTCCCTCAGTGATCAGAAATTTAGGCTTCCAAGGTAATAAACAAGTTTGTATATAAACAATATCTCTAGTATCCTCACATTTTAGCCCAGATGATGCAGAGGATATGCAAACACTATACATATTGTTGCTAGGCAGGAAACACCTAATTTAGTTCCATCTATTTATCCCATAGTGATAAACAGTATACACCTTGCATCTGACTTACGACCTGCTCGACATACGACCATTCGACTTACAACCTTGTTTTCTATGCCAAATTTCTGGGAAATAAACAACTGTTTGTGTTGCACAGAGTGTTTATCCTAAACCTTACAGTATAAAATACAGTACTAACAGTATAAAAAGTAAAGTAAAAAATGAAATACCAAAATAAAACAATAAAATAGTCATTACAAAAATGTGATATTGATATTCAGTAGTAAGGTTCGACTTACATCCATTTCGACTTACGACGGGTTTCTCGGAACCGAACTCGGTCGTAAGCCGGATGGTACCTGTATATATATAGTGTAAACATCATTAGTTTCCTCATAGTATATGAAAATACTACGTGTATTGACTACTCCTGTAGTAAGAGCCGGGTTTACTCTTATCTGTAAAGGCTTAAAATATACCTGCTTGTCTTATTCCTGGGGTTATGCCCCTCCCAGGTCATCTTATAGCCAGTATATATGTACTGTATAATGTTTTCTGAAGTACTGGACATTCATGGAACAGAATTCTTTCTCAGTAAGCCATGTGTGTTGTAAGAGGCAACTGAAATGCCAGGAGCAAGGGGCTAGTAACCCCTTCTCCTGTATACATTACTAAATTTAAAAAGAGAAACTTTCATTCTTTTTGGGTCACCCTGCCTCAGTGGGATATGGCCAGTTTGTTGAAGAAAAGAGTAATTATTTATCTCTAAAAAAATTCATTTCCTTTAATGTCATTTCCTAACATTTCTTACTCTAGTACATTTGAATAACGTGTTTAAATTCTTGCAGCTTAGGACATTTTTGTAAGATTCCAGAATACTGTAAGCTTGGCCAAAGATAAATTAATCCCTTTGCTGTAGTTATTTTTTTTTTTTCCCATGTTGACTCGTACTCCAACTTAGGCGGTATTATTTTTCAATTATGACATTATGATAATGTGTGCCTAAGTTGACATTGTGTAAGATCAGTTTTCATAATCTGTCAGTTGTCATATATTATCTGAAACTTTTTTTTCTTTAGCTTTCACGAATTGTACTGGACTCCAAAAATCCATTCTGGCAAAAAGCTGACCTTCGCACAACACGGCTAAAGGATGTTGAAAGAGGAGAACTTTTAATCTTCAAAGAGGTGGTGTTTTCATGTATTTTTATTAGCTTTATTCTACTTGTCAAACTTTACGTATGATGATATTAGAGAATATATTAAGGTAACACTTCTGAAGGAATTCAGAGGAACCAGTAAGCTTGACTTACTCTTGGAGATGGGGAAGTATATTGAAAGCAGTTAATAGTTTTTATTAGGATAACGAGTCTCAGGTTAAGTTATGTAGGAGAGAGGGAGATTATTTGTCAGTAAAAGTAGGCCTTAACCAGGGATGCATGATTCACTGTGGTTGTTTAATACACATATTTATAGATGAGTTGTGAGGGAATTGAATGTTAAAGTGTTGGGAAGAGGTGTGAGATTGAAAATAAAGAATCTAATACAAAGTGGAAGCTGTCACAGTTGCTTTTTGCTGATAACACTGTGCTTTTGGGAGATTCTGAAGAGAAGTTCAAAGGTTGGTGGACGAATTTGGGAGGGCATGTAAAAGAAGGCAATTGAAAGCAAACATGTATTGCATAATGTAAATAATGTAACTTGTGATGCATGGTAGTGAATCTTGGCCATAATACATACTGCTTCCTGTATGTTTATACATTGAATGTGCAGATTTAATAAGTGTGTTATGCAAGTGATGTCTCCAATTTTTTCTTGGGTCATTCATTTTTTTTTTAGGACACTTAAGTTTGAGATAATGTAAGTGGTATCATTTGTAAATTTCACTGACTTATTTGTGAAGTGCCATATATTTCCCAATGATGATGATTGCTTAGTATCTTTTGTGTTTTGCTCTACACATTCAGATATGGTAGCTTTTATACAAGTTGTACATACTGTTTGCTTTGATCTCTTTCCATCTTATTTTTAAGCTTAATTTTAAATACAAAGTATCAAGTTTCACATAGGATGTGTGCAGTTAACTTTCCTGTAAGTTTGGGGAATACAGTACTAGTATGAGCCTAACTGTTTAGTACTGGTAAGTTTATTTTGAAAATCCTAAATAAAATTTTGTTGTGCATTTTACTGAAGTGGTTGGTTTATTTAAAACCAAATACAGCCTCTCCTCACTTAGTGATGTACTCATTTACCGAAGAGTCAGACGTACGATGGGTTCTCTGACTAGTGTGCATACCTAAATAATGTACATTAGGGCTGATTAACCCTATTCTGTTTATTACAATATACAGTACTGTATAAACATTTAAAAATATACCAGAAATATTATAAATGGTACAAAGGTGACATTAATTCTATCAAAGATGGTTGGCACAAACTCACTACCACTATAGTAGTATGCTCCTCATTTAGCTACAAATTCGTTCACCAACGTGTTCTTAGGAATGGAACTCCATCATTAAGTGAGGAGAGGCTGTAGTTGTAGCTAAAAAACTGTTTTCTTGCATTAGAATAATATATTTATTTTTATATTGTTTTATTGTTCATTCAGTATAGTAATTATGAGTTGTTAATTGCAGCTGTCATGGCAGACATTGAGGATAGAAGCTCGGTCAAGTCGAGACCAAACACTTACTCCACTTAGACTTATAACTAATCAAGCACGATGCAGAATTACAATAAAAAAGAAATTAGCAGGTATAGTATTTTTTCTACTTATAAAAATACCTGAATAGCTGTTTTTGATAAGATTGTTCATTTCTGTGTGAGGGAGAGAGAGAGAGTACACTAAAGGCATAATATTTTCTTGAAAGCTCATTATACAGAACATAAAAACTATTCCAGACTGTTCGGTTGTTGGCTGCCGTCTTGTGTTACTCATGGATGATGTGTTATGGGTATTGACAGACTCTCAGCTCACTGCAACTTTCCATTTCATCGACTCTCTTTCCGATCTAATTCGGCAGGCAACCCAGCAGTCACAAAAGACAAAGGCTATAAGGAAGCTAGAAGTAAGTTAATTTATGTATATTCCATTTGCATAATGAAATAGTTATTAAATATAGCAAGTATTTGTTGCCCAGATTAAAAGTTGGTAGTAAAATCCCTTGCCTGGTGATGAACTTGTAATTGTACAAAAGATCTCGAGCCTATCATAAATAAAATAATGTAATACCCCTTACCTAGTAGGTTAGTAGATGGCAACTATCCAAGAGAGTACTACTGTTGTGTTGTGTGTGTGAAACAAAAGTCTGTTAAATGTTTAGCATTTCAACAGGATTGCTGGTGTTCTTTCACTCTCGAGAGCATGCAAGATTTTGGATAAATCTTGCAAACTTCTGCTTACTTTCATTATTCTCTTTGCATTTCTGTGTATTTCTTGATAGTTCTTATTCTGGAGATAAGGTTATGAGGGCAATGATTCGTTAAAAGATGTGTGTAGCATTTATATGATAAGTGTTCAGTATATTACGTCTAAACTGGTAAAAAATGGTTCTTTCATCAAACTGTAATTTATTGAATGTTCAGTAAGTGTTTGTATTACTAAAATTATTGGTTGAAACTTTCCAGAACATATTTTTCCTTTTAAGAACTAAGTGCAGTAGAGTGTCCCTTTTATACTGATCAGAATGCTAATTGAATTCATTAACTGTATCAGTTAGAGAAGACCTGCTGAAGGGGAGACTAAAACATTACGTATGGCTATACCTTATCTCCAGTTACTCTGATGTAGCATCACTCGCAGACCTGTTAGATGCTCAAGTTCTTACCACTTAAAACCTTCATTACTGCCTCTTAACCCTTCCTAGAATGATCTACCTCTTGTTTCATCCCCAAATTTTTACTTGTGCTTGGTCAATCTACTCTGCTCTATCCTTTCTGAATAATCAAATTATTTTAACCTTTACCTTTCTGAATTATCTGTTCATATTAGTCCCTTGGTATTAGTGGGCTATATAATTTATTCCCCTGTAAGCCGTGTGTGATGTAAAAAGTGACAAAGATCCCGGGAATAAGGGTCTATTAACCCGTTTTGTATTCAGTTACTAAAAAGTTGAAGAAAATTCTGCGTGCAATACAAATGATAAGAAAGAATTAATTGTGGCAGATGTTGCAGGTGTATGGTATAGGAGGTAGGTTACTGAAAGCAGTGAAGAGTTTTTACGAGGATAGTGAGGCTCAGGTTAGAGTATGTAGGAGAGAGGGAGATTATTTTCCAGTAAAAGTAGGCCTTAGACAAGGATGTGTGATGTCACCGTGGTTGTTTAATATATTTATAGATGGGGTTGTAAGAGAAGTGAATGCTAGGGTCTTGGCAAGAGGTGTGGAGTTAAAAGATAAAGAATCAAACACAAAGTGGGAATTGTCACAGTTGCTCTTTGCTGTCTCCCACCTAGGTAGGATGACCCCAAAATAGAAGAAACACTTTCACCATCACTTGCTCAAGTTGTGTGTATTTGAGGGAGTTTTGAACCAAATTAGACGATTATTGCTCTGGGAGAACCTTTATGCTAAAGTGAATGAGACAGTTGTAGACGGTGTAGGAGGAAAGTTTGAAGTGCCAGGGCTAAATTAAGATAAGGTACCCTTAATTGAGTTGTGTGCAGAAAAATGTTTGGTAATAGGCAATACTTATTTTGAGAGAGGGAATAAATAAATTTTAGATATAGGATGCAATGATAACATTTTGACAAGAGCATGTATTAGTAGAAAAAAAGTTAATAGGGAGACTTCTGGATTTGTGTTCCTAGAGGGGTAGTAGATTTGTCTGATCATTTAGTGGTAGCTACAGTGAAACTGGCAGTGGTTGGTAAGGGAGAAGTGAAAATGAATAAATTAATTAAGGATGGAGACAGTTTCAGAAATACATATAAGGAACTATTGGGGAAAAGATAAGTTATACATAAATAACCCCACACTTAGGAGATCGAAACTTGTGATTATATTTTGTTCCAACTTGGACCATTAAGAAGTTACACTAGTGAAATGAGGTGGTTGAGAAAGCATGGGGTGAATTTAAGAATGCACTGCTGGAGAGTGCATCAGAGGTGTGTGAATACAGGAAGATGGGTGCAGGTGGGAAGAGAAGTGACTAGTAGAATGATAGGGTTAAGAGGTGGTAATGGAATAAATAGTAGCATATGAAAGGCTTTTACAATGTAAAAATGATAGACTTAAGGAGAGGAAGTGGGAGATTAAAATAGCAGTGAGGGAATGTGGAAGGAGAGCTAGTGAGAGAATGGGCCAGTCTTTTATAAGCTTTTTTTTTTCTGTGAGAAATAAAAGCAGTTTTGGAAAGAGCAATAAAGTCACGAAGCCTGAAGAGCAAATAGACTTAGCAATTAAGGGCAAAAGAGGGGAGATGTTAGATGTGGAGGTACTGGAAAGACTGAAAGGCTATTTTAATGAGTTGTTGAATGTTAGTGATGAAGGGGAGGCAGTGATTTCATGCACAGGGTAGGGTAGGATAACATATAGGAATGAGGAAGAGCCTGAGGTGGATGTGGGGGCTAAAGTGCATGAGGCAGTGGGTAGAAAGAAAATGAGTAAAGGGATAAATGGCTGGGATAAATGGGGCTAAGACAAAGATGTTGAAAGATGGTGGAGATAATGTTGGAGTGGTTTGTGTGTACAATATATTCATGAAAGAATGGAAGGTACCCAAGGATTGTTAGAGAGTATGCATAGTTCCCTTGTATAAGGGAAAGGTGGACAAGAGAGAATGTTAGAATTATAAGGGATAAGCCTGCTAAGGAGGGGTTGTTGAGGTTGTTTGGTCATTTAGAGAGGATGGAGCCAAATGGGATGACTTGGAGAGTGTATAAATCTGTAGTGGTGGGGAAGGAGGGGAAGGGGTCATCCTAGAAAAGGATGGAGGGAGGAGGAGGTAGAAGGTTTTGTGTGCAATGGGCTTGGACATAGAGCAGGCATGTGTGAGCATGTTTGATAGGAGTGAGTGGAGGCGAATGGTTTTTGGGACTTGATGAGCTATTGAAGTGTGAGCAGGGTAATATTATCACCCTGCTTTGGTGGGAGATAACCAGCATATTAAAGGCCTGTTGAATATACTAAGAAAAGTTTATGGTAGAATTATTATTCAAAGGATTTGGGGTAAGACAGAAAGTAGGATTGCTGAGGAGCAAGGAGAACTTAGGAAGGGTAGGTGATGTGTAGATCATACGTTTGCATTGAAGCATTAAGTAATAGTACTTAAGTAAGGGTAAGGATCTGTTTATTGCATTTATGGATTTATAAAAGACGGACCTACTCCTCCTTGTGACCTGTTCACTCATCACATCTATGAAAATTGTAAAACTTCACCCATAACACCCCTTTATGTGAAACCTCCAAACTATGCATTTCTTTTGTGAGGAGCCCACTTATACACAATGGTTAACTTTATTTCTATTTGGTTTTTAATCCCTAAAGCTTAGCAATATAGAAGGAAGCTTTACCATTGGGATGTTTGGGTTTTGTAAAGATTTTTGACTCCTCCACTACTGGAAGCCCAGAAATTAAAAGTGCTGATAATGTTAGCATTTCCCCACCCCCAAAAAAATATGAAAGGGTACAAATTATTTTTGAAGGTGATGCCATCAGAAATACAAAATTTGATGGATTCCTGTGTCATCACATTGATTGGGATTGGGCACAAAATGTGCAACTTCCTGGCAATCCCATATGTAGTCTGTTGGATATTTGTGGCTGGTCATGCTGGTGGCTGCTGGATGTTTGTGGCTGGTTGTGTGGGGATAGTGGACACAGCCTAGGTTCCTTGGGGTGTGATGTGTTGGGTATGGCTCCCACCCAGGGTTGGTGCTTGCACCACTTGCTTCCCATGTCCCCTGCCGCATGTAGTTCAAGTAATGCCCACAGCCCACTACCCATGCCAGTGGATGCACTGTCATCCTGACTATCACTGTCAACTGGTTAGGTCTCTAGATGTGCTACATACCTTTGGGATAGCAATGGGCATATACCACACTACATGCATTGCCATTTATATTGATGCTTCATAGGCAAATAATTTTCATTGTCACACTTCTGGTCATCGATTGCTAGGAAACGCAGATGATATACACAGGCTTTTTAAAGGCATTTAACAAATGCAATCATGGGGAGATAGCATGCAGAATGAGGTCCATAGGCATTATGGGGAAGGTAGACAGATGAATTTTCAGGTTCCTAACACAGAACACAAAGTAGTAGTAAACCGAGCAAAATCCAGTATCAATGAGGTAAAAAGCTGTTTCCCAAGGCACTGTCCTGTCACCTCTGCTGTTTCTCATCCTCATAGAAGACATAGATGAAAATACCCGTCAGAATTTTGTATCATTTGCAGATGACACACAAAACAGTGTTTTCCAGTTGGCAGTGGAGACCAACATGACATTCAGTGGTGATAAGTTCCAGCTGCTTAGGTATGAAAAGAATGAAGAACTCAAAAGGAACTGTATACAAAACTCAAGAGGATCATCAAATAGAACGAAAGGAACATGTGAAAGACTTGGGAATAACTATGTCAGCTGACCTTTCAAAAAACATAATAAGACAAAGGTCACAACAGTCAGGAGAATGACAGGGTGGGTATTGAGAACCTTCAAAACAAGGAAAATAATAGCAACGGTGACACTTTTCAGATTGCTAATTCTCCCTCATTTGGAATATTGCTCTGTTTTGATGGCCCCATTCAGGGCAGGAGAAATATCAAAGCTGGAACAGATAGAGATTGTTTACGATCCACATAGAGCCAATAAAGCATTTCAATTACTGGGAACACCTTTGACTTAAATATGTACTCACTGGAGTGGAAGAGAGATGCACGATTTTGTGTACCTGGAAAGTACTCAAGTTCCTGGTACCAAATCTGTACCCTGTCATAACATACTGGAGTGAGAAATATGGAAGGAAGTGCAAAATAAACCAAGTGAAAACCAGGGGTGTGGTGGGCACAATGAGGGAACACTGTATCAATATCCGTTGCGCCAGATTATTCAACATCTTACCAGAAGATGTCAGAAATATTGTGGAACAAGTGTAGAAGTCTTCAAGAGGAAGCTGGACAAGTATCTTTACCAGGTGCCAGATCAACCAGGCTGTGATGAATATGTGGGGGCAGCAGGCCTCCAGCAACAGCAGCCTGGTTGACCAGGCTAGCACCAGATGATCCTGGCTCGTGGTCAGGCCCCAGGAGTAGAATGACTCTCAATACTTGTCAAAGGTATATACCAAAGGTATATAGTATCAGTAATGTAGATCTTCGTGGGCAACAGTTACAGGGTTGAATGAGTGGGAGCCAATTTTTAAGTTTGGGAGTGGTCCTAGGGGTTTTGTTCATTATTTAAATTAGGGTACCATATGCTAGTTATTAATCAGGATGACTAACTCTTCTTCTCCATGGGGAAGTGGAACAGAATTCTTCCTCCGTAAGCCATGCGTGTCGTAAGAGGCGACTAAAATGCCGGGAGCAAGGGGCTAGTAACCCCTTCTCCTGTATATATTACTAAATGTAAAAGGAGAAACTTTCGTTTTTCCTTTTGGGCCACCCCACCTTGGTGGGATATGGCCGGTGTGTTGAAAGAAGAAGAAAAAGATAAAAAGACTAACTCTTCTGTTTGGTCTATTTGAATGTTTTCATATTTTCTATTCCAGTCTTTACCAGAGTTCCAGGCACAGCAAGCACAGCAGGTTCGAGGTAGCAGTACACAGCAACATGGAGCCAGTGTAAGCAGCAGTGCTCGCCCACCACCACCCCAGTCCAACATTGCTAAAGCCTTCAACAAGTATGATGTGGCTGAGACATCATATCACTTCTATTCAGAGAGGATTGACTTACATTTCTGTGATGACCCCGGACGTAAGTACATTTTACCTCGTGAAGGCATGTTTATAACATTAGACATGGGGTTTTATCATAGCCAATTTTCTACTGCTGCATTCTTTTATACATACACAAGAGATTATTATTAACATGTACATAGTCCCTCAAATGTACAAGGACTTTTGCATACCACCAACACATACAGTATGAATAATGCTGTTATACTGCAGTAGAAATAAAGGAATTTTCAAGAGTTGTAATTTATACTTTCATATTTATCTTTTTATTTTTTTTTTTTTTGTCACCTCTTGCAAAACAGTGGGATGTGGATGGTATATTTTTATAAGGATTGATCCTGCAAATATCTTGAAAAAAAAAAATCACTGGTGGATAATTCTCAGCAAACTTACCAATGCACATAAATCGGAAACCTGTTCTTGGTAATGTACTCGTGATAAAAATTTGTGATTTCATGTCTAAAAGATTTCCTTTAAAATTTATCTTGTATGCTTTTCTATCTATTAAGCCATTATTTGGTTGCCATAGCTATCACTTTTGCTTTTATAGTCATCTAAACATTATGCATTTTTTTTTATTAATTTTCCTAGGAATTGAATAATTTTAATACTTGCTCAAAAAATGGGGTGATGCAAATGTTTGTAATTGTGGATAGCTGGTGATCTCGCACAATTTCATACTTGCACAAAGGATTCTTTACAATTTTGCTTCAATTAACAAAGCATAAATCTTTTTTTTTTTTTTTTTATAGCACAATCTATAAAAGTGTTCTACTAGTTTTAAATCTGTTTACTATACAAACTAAAATATGAATGCTTCACTAAAAGGCTTTACTATACATTACTCACTATGCAGATATCACAGACTGTGTAGTGACCATAGGAGGGGCTGTGAAGGCCAGTGCCTGCATTCTGAAAGAATGGGATGGGGATATTGCAGTCGGAGAGTAATCTGATTGTGATGTGAGCAGACTTCTGGAAAGGGAAAGACTGCGATTAAATTAATGATGATGAATGTGTTTTCTTTGAATAACCCTGCCTTGGCAGCAGGAGACAGCTGTTAAGAAAAAAATAATAATTTGAGATTGTTTTTTCTTGAGCACCTGTTCTTCCAAGAAACTGGCAAGTGCTCATACACGAAACCATAAATACAAACTCCTTAAATTACGTTTCTGTTAACCACATGAGAAGAGTCATTCAAAACTTCATCAACCTTTTATATGTTTTTCCACATAGATCTACATTATTGAGCCAGTGTTGCTTAAGTAGATCTGTGCCTTAGACATAGCACCCTCAAATCATCTCTTCCAATTCACTGGCCATATCCCACCGAGGCAGGGTGGCCCAAAAGGAAAAATGAAACTTTCTCCTTTTACTTTTAGTAATATATACAGGAGAAAGGGTTGCTAGCCCCTTGCTCCTGGCATTTTAGTAGCCTCTTACGACACGCATGACTTAGGGAGGAAGAATTCTGTTCCACTTCCCCATGGAGAAGCACCCTCAAATATGTTGTGATAATTAAATTCTGAAGAGAAGTTGCAGAGATTGGTGGATGAATTTGGTAGGGTATGCAAAAGAAGAAAATTAAAAGTGAATACAGGAAAGAGTAAGGTTATGAGGTTATGAGGAGGTGAATGTATTCGGATATTTGGGAGTGGACGTGTCAGCGGATGGGTCTATGAAAGATGAGGTGAATCATAGAATTGATGAGGGGAAATGGGTGAGTGGTGCACTTAGGAGTCTGTGGAGACAAAGAACTTTGTCCTTGGAGGCAAAGAGGGGAATGTATGAGAGTATAGTTTTACCAACACTCTTATATGGGTGTGAAGCATGGGTGATGAATGTTGCAGCAAGGAGAAGGCTAGAGGCAGTGGAGATGTCATGTCTGAGGGCAATGTGTGGTGTGAATATAATGCAGAGAATTCGTAGTTTGGAAGTTAGGAGGAGGTGAGGGATTACCAAAACTGTTGTCCAGAGGGCTGAGGAAGGGTTGTTGAGGTGGTTCGGACATGTAGAGAGAATGGAGCGAAACAGAATGACTTCAAGAGTGTATCAGTCTGTAGTGGAAGGAAGGCGGGGTAGGGGTCGGCCTAGGAAAGGTTGGAGGGAGGGGTAAAGGAAGTTTTGTGTGCGAGGGGCTTGGACTTCCAGCAGGCATGCGTGAGCGTGTTTGATAGGAGTGAATGGAGACAAATGGTTTTTAATACTTGACATGCTGTTGGAGTGTGAGCAAAGTAACATTTATGAAGGGGTTCAGGGAAACCGGCAGGCCGGACTTGAGTCCTGGAGATGGGAAGTACAGTGCCTGCACTCTGAAGGAGGGGTGTTAATGTTGCAGTTTAAAAACTGTAGTGTAAAGCACCCTTCTGGCAAGACAGTGATGGAGTGAATGATGGTGAAAGTTTTTCTTTTTCGGGCCACCCTGCCTTGGTGGGAATCGGCCAGTGTGATAATAAAAAATAATAATAAATATTTACATCCCCTTTATTTATTCCCGTTTTCCATTTATACACCTCGATCATATCCCCCCTAATTCTACGACTTTCGAGAGAGTGCACATTCAGGGCCCTCAGTCTATCCTCATAGGGAAGATTTCTGATACATGGGATCATCTTTGTCATCCTCCTCTGTACGTTTTCCAGAGCATTTATATCCATTCTGTAATACGGTGACCAGAACTGAGCAGCATAGTCTAAATGAGGCCTAACCAAGGATATATAAAGTTGAAGAACAACCTGAGAACTTCTATTATTTATACTTCTAGATATGAAGCCAAGAATTCTGTTAGCTTTATTGCGAACACTAATGCACTGTTGTCTTGGTTTTAGGTTACTGCTAACCAGAACTCCTAAATCCTTTTTTGCAATCAGTAGTATTAAGATCTACAAGTGGTTCACAGTTCAGGAAGAAGGAAGATGAGGAGAGTTGATAGAGAAGATGTGAAGGTAGGAAATCGATTCTCTGTTCTCCAAGACAAGTGTACTTCAGTGGTTAGTGAGGATGAAGGTACCACTGATTCCCCTGCTAATCAAGGTAAGAATATTTTAATAGAAGGCGATTCTCAGGTAAGATATATGGACCGTGCATTTTGTAACAGAGACAGAAATATCAGACAGTGTGTGTGTCTTCCTGGAGCTGGTGTTGGTGACATAGTCAGCAGGTTGGATAATATTATGGCAGGTAATGGGAACAAGCCCATTATCTGTCTTAGTGCTGGAGGTAATGACATTGGGAAGGGCAGGAGAGAGGAGCTGCTGGATAAGTACAGGTCAGCCATAGAAGTAGTTAGGTCTGAGGGAGGGATCCCAGTCATATGTAGCATTTTGCCTAGAAAGGAAGTGGGCAATGAATGGATGTCTAGGGCAATTTGTATAAATTGCTGGCTAGACAGGTACTGCAAGGAACTTGCAATCCCATTCATTGATAACTGGGACCTATTCTTTGGCAAACGTGATATGTATGCAAGGGATGGGGTTCATCTCTCTGGGGATGGAGTGGTTGCATTAGCCAATTCAATTGAGAGGGTAATTGATGACTTGTCTAGGAATTTAAACTGATAGATTATAGAGGTATGGGTGTTTGTGGGAAACAATCAGACTGCAGCATTAGGGTTAAAAACAGCAGTTATTACCGGGATACCTCAGGGATATGTTTAAAAGACAATATTTTAAATAAAGTTGCTAGTAATGGCAAATCAATTGATCAACAAACAAAGAGAGATAGTAGAGGGCAACGAGTGACTAGCTCCCTTAAGGTTTACTATACAAATAGTAGGAGTCTAAGAAATAAGATAGATGAGCTAAGATTACTTGCAAGTGTAGGTACTATAGATATTATTGGTATAACAGAGACCTGGTTCAACCTGAAAGATAGAGAAATGCCTTCTGAATGCAACATACAGGATTATAAACTATTCCACACTGATAGGGTCAACAGGAAGGGTGGTGGTGTGGCGGTGTATGTCAGAAAATTTAAATTGTTGTCTTAGCCATGATATATGATTAGAAACATCGAACACAGAATCTGTTTGGCTACAGTTTCTCGAGGGACGTGACAAATTAGTTTTGGGTGTGATTTATAGGCCCCCAAACCTTGATAGGGAGGGCAGTAAGCTGTTATGGGACGAAATTCATAAGGCATCTAGATATGAAAATGTTGTGATATTGGGAGATTTTAACTTTAGACAAATTGATTGGAATAATATGACAGGAAATCTTGAGTCTAGTGACTTTCTTGATACGGTTCAGGATTGCTTTTTAGAACAGATTGTGACAGAACCAACTAGAGGCAACAATCTGCTTGACTTGGTTCTTGCCAACAAAGATTCACTAATTAATAATCTTGAGGTTAATGATGAGCTTGGGTAAAGTGATCACAAATCACTTAGTTTCAATATATCATGGAATTACCCAGATAACTGCAATCAAATCTCTGTCCCAGATTTTCGCTTGGCCGACTTCATGGGACTGAAAAATTACATGGGTGGGCTAAATTGGGATGTCCTGACTATGGGTCAGGTAGGTGATCTTTGTTGCCAATATGACGTTTTTCAGAGCATAGTTCTAGCTGCCCAGACAACTTTTGTTCGGAGTAGGGAAATAAGATCTAACAAAAATGATCCCAAATGGATGAACAATAGATTAAAACATCTCATTGGTCAAAAGAGAGGCATATATAGGCATATCAAAAGAGGGGATGGGCAGTTAAGAAATCAATATATTCAATTAAATAGAGAAATAAAGAAAGGAATAAGAAAAGCAAAAAGGGATTATGAGGCTAAGGTCACAAGGGATTCAAAGACTAACCCAAAAGGGTTCTTTCAGGTATACAGAAGTAAGATTAGGGACAAGATTGTCACACTTTGAGTAACTCTGGTCAGATCACTGACAGTGATGAGGATGTGTGTGAAATTCTAAATACCTACTTCCTCTCAATTTTCACCCAGGAAAATACTAGCAATATTCCTGAAATAATAGACTATGTAGAACAGGATGATAATAAACTATGTATGATTGCAGT